TTGCTCATGGATAGGAAGAACCAACATTGTGAAAATGGCCATGCTCCCAAAAATGTTACAGAGATTCCATGCATTCCAATTAAAATACCATTAGCATACCTCATAGATCTAGAGAAAACATTCCTAAAATTCATCTGGAATCAGAAGAGACCCAAAATAGCAAAAACAATCCTGGGCAACAAAGAGAAGGCAGGTAGAGAAAACATTCCTAAAATTCATCTGGAATCAGAAGAGACCCAAAATAGCAAAAACAATCCTGGGCAACAAAGAGAAGGCAGGTGGCATCACAATCCCTGACTTGAAATTATACTACAAAGCTACTGTGATAAAATCAATATGGTACTGGCAAAAAAGAAACCAACCTGAGGATCAATGGAACAGACTGAAAGATGCAACCACAACCACAAACACACTCAGCCACCTTATCTTTGACAGAGGAGCCAAACAAGTTCACTGAAGAAAGATAGCCTCTTTAATAAATGGTGCTGAAAAACTGGCTCACCACAGGCCAAAGACTGAAACTAGACCCATGTCTATCACCTTGCACCAAATTCAAGTCAAAATGGATCACAGATCTAAATATTACAACAGAAACACTAAATCTACTGGAAGAGAAAGCAGGTAAAAATCTTGAAGACATAGGGGTAGGCATAGAGTTCATGAAAAAAAGCCAAACTGTACGGGAAATACTTCAAAGAATAAAAAACTGAGATCTGATCTTACTGAAAAGTTTTTGCACATCTAAAGAAATCACCAGCAAAGTGAAAGAAAACCTATGAATTGGGAAAAAATTCTAGCCGACTGTCCCTCAGACAAAGGGCTCTTGTCTAGAACATATAGAGAATTAAAAAACATCAGCCCCTGCAAAATTCAAACACCCAATACAAAAATGGGCATCTGAGATGAACACACACTTCTCAGATAATGAAATACAAATGGCAAATAAATACATGAGAAAATGTTCAATATCATTAGTCATTCGAGAAATGCAAATTAAAACAACTCTGTGGTTTCATCTCACCCCAGTAGGAATGGCTATCATTAAGAAATCAACCAGTAACAAATGCTGGCAAGGCTGTGGAGAAAATAAAAACTCTTCTCCACTCCTGGTGGGAGTGGAGACTGGTGAAACCACTGTGGAAATCAATTTGGAGATTCCTCAGTAATCTAGGACTAGAGGTCCCATTCAATCCTGCTATTCCCCTTCTGGATATTTTCCCAGAAGAACTGAAAACATCATATCGCCATGATATATGTGTACCTATGTTTATAGCAGCACAATTTGTAATAGTTAAATCGTGGAAGTTAGCCAAATGCTCATCAACTGAGGAATGGATAAAAAAGTTGTGGTATTTTTACACAATGGAATATTACTCAGCTATAAAGAAAGATAATCTCGAGACTTTTATAGGAAAATGGACACAACTAGGGACCACATTCATAAGTGAAATAAGTCAGACCCACATGTGTAAACACCATATTAATGTAAGAACCTGAAAGAGTGAATAAAATCTAGGAGGGACAATAGACTTGTGAAAGGAAAGGAAACTGTTCAAAAGGAAAGAACTGGGATGAGGGAAAAGAGAAAAGAAAGAAGGGAGAAAATATGCATGTATGTATACACAGGATAGCTAACATAGTTGTACTACTGACTTTTATTGCTCTATGGTTAAGGAACAGTTAATGTTTAAGTGTATGATCAATCCTACATGTCTATATTTGTTTACCTGAGTATCCAATTTGAAGATATCAATATGTAATACAACAACCATTGTTAATTTCCTATCACCTTGTTTGAAATTCTGTATTGCTTGTATTGTTTTTGTGTTATTTTCTAAATGTATGTGTGTTTGTTAAGATGTTTTCGTTCTTTTATCTTTAAAATAAAAAAAAGAACACTACAGTGTCTGAGTGACCTCATTGTGAGTGCTGTAAAAGGCTGCGAATGTCACCATGAAGAAAGTTGTATGGTATCTGCTAGCATTACAAAATGAGGAAAGGCCTTTTTGATGTCTGCATAGGCACCAGATGAAGAAGAACCAAGCAGGAATGTACCAAACAATGGCTCACATGCCATAGGAATTTGTGGCAAATTTCCCGTTCTTCTGAGTAATTTGACCACAGGTCCTTACTTTCATCCCATTGAGCTCATAACTGGAAAAGCAGATCATGTGTTCCAAGTCCATTGGTATCACTGACAAGCTATTCAGGTGACTGGCCAGCCAGAAATCAGCAAACCTGCCTTGTGGGAAGGAGCTATAAGAGCAGGTTAAGCAGCCAAAGCCAGGATTTATAGTAAAAAACTTCAGTGGGGTTGATAAGAAAGAAAACCCTAAATCCATGAAGGACAAGTGGATATGCACAGGAGGGGACAACACTAACTGGAGCAAAGAAGCATGCTAGCAGGCGCAGGCACACGGTGTCCCCAGGAATACTGCAATCTCAAAGAGATGTTGGTGAGACAAATTTTTCTTGGATGAAGTTCACAGATAAGTACATGATTCACTCCATCCTGTCTCCAACCATATGTGCTAATGCCCAGAAAGAGGAATCCAATCACCAATCAGAAGAAAACCACCCAGATAGATTCTTATCAAGGGCCTTATACTTCTGTTTAAATTTAAATACAACTTCAAGCACAAGGATAATATTTAGTACGATGACTATTCCACTGGTGCCGGCTGAGCAGCTTCCAAAACAGGTGCACATAAATGCTTCATAGCTTTCGTATACCACCGTCTTCAAGTCCTGTGGTTACTACAGGCTCAGTCTCAAAGATGAGCTGCTTAGTTTTCTTGTGCGTGTAAAGTGGGGCCACTTCTACATGAGCAACTCACCAATCTGCTCCACCAGATGTTTCCAGGACTTTGTCATGCGTTTTACGGATTTTTCAAAACCCTGAAAATTCAGCTCCTAACAGTTCTCCAGCAGGATAACACTGAGGTGAAACCCGCCGAAGGCCACTTGAGGTCCTTAGTATTCCAGGGTTGGACACGGTCTTCGGGGACAGGCGAAAGACTGGCTTTTCTGCGTTGTTGCCGCGTAGAAACACCAGTGCTTCTTTCTACGTGTCCTGTGATGACTGAAGCCCATTCTGGAATATAGCAAACCTGCTTCTCTGAATAAAATGTGTTGGTTTTGGCAAGTTCTTTACACAAGTTTAGAAAATTTATTCTTCAAACTTTCCAAAAGACCTCTTTGCTGCGCTCTCATCTGTAACCCCATGGAAAGTGCTTTGTCCCAAGCTGAATACAGCCTGGCCTTGACAGCCTCATACGGGATGAATTTCTTCCTCTGCTCCGGAGTGACGTGTGCGGGGAGAAGCGCTCCGCGAGCTTCACCCCGTCAGCTCCCTTCTCTCCCGCTGAGTCCCCCGTGTGCAGGCTGCAGCGGTGACAGCAGAGATACGGACTCCTCCCCGCACAGGCCCCCTCACTGACTTTGCTCCTCTGCCGCGGGGAGATCCCCACTCTAGGAACGCTTTATAAAGGCAGATTTACCCAAAGATTTACTTGTTCTTTGGACCTCTGGCCTTTTCTTTGGAATTACTTTTCTGCTGCCTAATTTTCTTTATTAAGGATTGGTGAGTGATAAATACTTTCTGATAAACAACTGTCTTTGTTTTCCTCTGCTCTTGATACTTATTTTTTCTCTATCTGGAATTCTAAGTAGACAATTACTTTCTTTCAGCACATGTAAACATTTTTTCGCTAGCCATTGCTTACTAATGAGAAGAGATGAAAAGTAAGCCATAAATCTATTACAAATCCTTGCAGGGTAATATTTTGTTGTTTTTGTTTTGAGGACGTTGTTATTTGGTTCTGAGATTTCATTATGATGTCAAAGCCAGCAGTAGATATATTTTTATTTATATTCCTTAGGATTCACTGGGCTTTTTTCGTCTAACAAATAGCATCTTTTATCTGATGTGGAAAATTCTCAGCCATTATTGTTTCAATATTGTCTTAAGCCTGTAGTCTTTCATTTCTTCTGGAACTCTGAATAAATGCACATTAAACCATCTCTCTTACTTTTCATTCCTTTACTTTCCATTCTTTTAACCTCCATGGCCCTTAACTCCTCCTTATTCTTTACCATATATTTTCTTCCTGTACTCCGTGAAAATTTTGTATACTATATCATTCTGTACGTAGTAAAAATTCTCAAGTTACGAATCTGCTAGTTAATTATATAGAGCATGTATAAGAGAAACTACCCTAAAAGAGACATGGAATGTCAAAATAATAAATAGTATATCCTTTTTGTAAGACAATACCAATAGGGCACATATTTTCCAGTTTCCTTTTTTGTCCTGCAAAAAATTATTCCTATATTAACCTGCAATTCTAGGAAAATATACTGATCTGGCAGCTAATTCTGCCAGTGTAATATGTTCCAGTCCATCATTTAAAGTGTTTAATAAGGGCAGGTGGACGTAGCTAAATGGTAGAATGATTGCCAGCATGTGTGAAGCCTTGAGTTTGGTCTCAAACACTAGGAGTGACAAAAGGGTATAATTATGCTACGTGCAAAGCCTTATGCTGGTTGTTAAGATGTCTGAATGGGATATAGAAAACATATATTCTTTTTATTTAAAAGCATTCACAGTCTTCAACTATAAAATAAACGTATCTACCAGGAAAAAAAAGTAGGTTAAGATAAGTGGGGTGTGTTGATGTGGGACAATATTCAGTAAGAAAATGGTTTGACGTTCCAAATGGAAACCTTTTCTGCCTGTTTCTGGAACCTGGTAGATGACAGTATAAAGTAAACAACAAGTCGCAGAAAGATGTTCATGGTGTGGAGAGACTGATATCCTAAGAGAGGAAAAATAAATAGTAAGAAAGTAATAGAGAACACATTTAGAGAGTAATGTTCCCTATTTCACATTCATATGTTGTCAGGCTATGATTCAAAACGAATCATAAAAAAAAATTCTCATTAACAATGTTTCTGTCAGTATATAATCATGTATGTCTGAATTATGCTTTATGTTTTAGCTTCTGGGAGGACTAATCTACATCAACTGATAAAAGAAGTAAAGAAGTTTACAGGTGAGCAAGATATTTTGAGAAAAGATGCAAAACTAAAATGCAAATACTTCACATTCACTTATATATGTAAAATTGAATTTTCATGTCCTGAATTTGATTTAACCTCAACATTTTTAGTGAATAAAGTCTAGGTCTAATCACATAAAGATTGCATTGGATTATCTATGTTTTAGCAAAATGTTGTAGTGCTGTATCTCTATATGAAGTTATCTATATGTTCTGAAACATCATTTTACCTAATGGTAATATAATTTAGATTAAGTAACAACATGTATGTACTTACATCACTGGGCCCCCTTTACTATGAATTAGGCTAACTTCTCTGAGATTATTTATGCCACTATACATGAGTTCCTTATTTAAATTTTTAAAATTAACTTCTGTTTTCTGTGTTCTTCATCTGAAAACAGTAGACAATGCTGTAAAGCTTAGGTATTTTTTAAGCATTTAGGGTCAATAGACAATTCTTACTGTCACTGTTTCTATTTTTGAATTTAAAAGGAGGAGAAATTGAAGCCAAAGACATACAAAAAGTACTCAGAAATATGGGGATAGAACTCACAAATAGGGAACTTTGGGAGCTGCTGAAAATGTTGCCAGTTACCGGTATGTATTTTATGCGCTACGATGGAGTATATTTCTATATTATTTAATGTCATTAAAAACTGACCCATGTCATTTCTTACAAAAATCTAGAATACAGACTAGTGAGATCACAATGGAAGACCAGGCATTATTAGTAATTAGAATAAGAAGTGAAATAACTGAAATGGAACGTTCCAGCATTGAACACAGGGCGGCACAGTGTGGGAGGGAAAGTTCGGCATAATCTAAACAATGCAGACTGCTACTGAACAAATATTCAGTCTGAGCAGAAGAATTGAAAGCAGTGCCTTTGCATTGAGCTACATCCTTTTCCTATTTCTTACTTTGAGACAGGGTCTTGCTAAGTTGCCCCAAGCTCCACAGGAGGAACATGGGTCCTGTTTTTTGTTAGTTTTTGCTTCTCTTCCTATTGTGTTCTGTGTTGTTTTGTTACATTTCACCTCATTAATGATGTTTTCATAGGATTATCTAATGACTTATACTTGTGTCATCTTAAATTGGATTTTCTCTTCCTGTCTCATCTCCTCCTTCCTATTTATATTCCCTTACCTTCTTTCTTTCTCTTCTCATACCTTCTTCCCTCTTACCTTTAAAACCTACTGTTAGTATTAATCTCACCATTATAAATTCCTAGTTTTTTCTAGTCTATTCTACATCATTATACTCCCTAGCTTTATCTAAATTAGTGAAATAGGAATCTTTTTAAGTAAGTTGTTATTAAACGTTGATGTATATTTGGTTTTTTACTTGTTACTGGTAGTTATTCTCTCCTGTCAAAAAAAAGTTCTGGGAACTGAACCTAGCGCTCTGAACAGGTTGAGTGAATACTTTCACTGGGAGACACACACACAACCATCCATACACATTAAAGAGAAATCCACTTAATAAAAATACTCACACAGTTGTGGAAAAGATATCCTGCCCAACTGATGTGTACATATCAACACAAAAGCCCAAGAAACCTCACAGGGCAATGCGATGACTCCGAAGGCTCATAACTCTCCAATAACTGACCCCGTGATTTAGAAGTGGATAAAATGACAAAGAATTAAAGAAACTGGTCATTAAAATGACAGGTGAACTCAAAGAAGAAAATAAACATGAAGTAAGGACGAACTGAGTGAGATAAGGAAGATAATTCATTCTATGAAAGGCCATTTCTGAAAAGAGAGAGAGATTCTGAAAAATAACCACACAGAGATCTTGGAAATGAAAGCACAATGAGTCAAATGAAAAATTCAATTGAAAGTCTCACCGCATTAGATCAAGCAGAAGAAAATTATCAGGGCTTTACAACAAAGTGGATGCACTAAAACATTTGGACAGTAATAAAGCAAAAAAAGAATAAGAATCTATGAACAAATAACTATGGACAAGAGCTGTAGGACAATATTAAAAGACCAAATTTAAGAGTTATGAGCCTTAATAAAGAAGAATATCTAGCTTAATGGCATACAAAACCTATTCAGTAAAAGAATGGGAGACTGTTTCCCAAATCTGGGAAGTGAGATGGACATCAAAGTGATGGAGGCTCTTAGAACCCCAAATAGCTATGACTAGGAAAGAAACTCTCCATGACATATTATAGCCAAATGGCCAAAATTTAGTACAAAGAATATTAAGAACTATAGGACAGAAAAGCCAAACCCCTTATAGTAGTGAATTCATCAGGATAACAGGAGATTGCTCAACAGAAACTGAAAACCAAGAGGCCTTGAGATGATCATTTCAATTCCTGAGAGAGAATTACTGCTAGGCTAGATTACTATTGTATACAAGGCTATTCTTCAGAATTGAAGGAGGAATAAAGATCTTCCAAAATAAGCATAAGCCAAGTATGGTGGCGCATGCCTGTAATCCTAGTACTTGGGAGGCCGAGGCAGGAGGATCATTGCAAGTCTGAGGCCAGCCTGGGCTACAAAGTGAGCTCAAAGGCCAGCCTAAACTGCATAGCAAGACCCTGTCTCAAAAATATCAAAACAAAATGAACAGAAAAGAGCAAAATAAATATAAACTAAAAGAATTCATGATAACTAAACCTGCACTACAAAAAAATACTCAAAAGTCATCCTAAATACAGAAGACAAACACAGCCACAAGAGCACAAAACAGAATAAACTTCATAGAAGAGTAGATAAACAAATGAAAATCAGGAATGAATCTAACACAAGAAAATAACAAAATGACAGGAATTTGTACATACATTTTAATAATGCTGAATATAAGTGGTCTTAATTCTTCAATCAAAACACATAGACTGATGATTTGGATTAAAAAATAAAACTCAACTATATGTTGCCTGCAAGAAATATATTTCACCCGTGGAGACTTCTACAGAATGTCATGGTTTATATCTTGTTGACACCCAGAGCCTCACGTGCCCACAGGCAGAGCTGTCAGAAGATGGTTGGATTATAGGAGGTGGAATCTGGGCAGAAGAGGTGAATCACTGTGGGTGTGGCCTGGAAGGTTGTATCTCCATTTCTGGCTTCTCTCTTGATTCTCTCCACTTTGAAAAGTCATGAGATGGGCAGTTGTTCCTCCAACATTCCGCTCTGCCATGCTGTGCTGCCTTGGAGCTAGCCGACTATGGACTGAAGTGTGAGCCAAAATAAACCTCCACTCCTTTCAGGGGACCAAGAGATGGAGGGATGGGGGAAGGGATTAGGAGGGAAAGGGGATGAAAAAAGGAATCAGGAGGTGGTATGAACAGTACCAGCACCCCCATGAAGAATGTAATCATTACGTACTGCAAACGTATACCAGTAATTTTTTTCTTTTTTTTTGGTACCGGGAATCAAGCTCACAACCTCATGCTTGCCAGGCAGGCACTGTGCTTCTGAGCTATACCCCTGGCTCCAGTAAGTTTTTTAAAATTCTCTTGACTTTAATTGCAGCTGTCAGATATTCTGTCTCAAGGAAAAGACGGTGACTAAGACACAGAACGAAAGTAAGAGAATGGAAAATGATACTTCAACCAACTAGATACCAAACTAACACAGGAGTCACTATAGGCATATCCAACAGATTTCAAATTGAAATTAGTCGGAAGAGACAGAGAGTGTCATTGAAAATGAGTATAGGAAATAATCTACCAAGAAGATATAAAATTGTAAACAGATGTACAAGAAATATTGACACACCCAATTTTATAAAACTAGCACTATTTGGCATAAAGGGACAGATAGACCCAATGTAATAATAGCAGTGTCTTCAATACTCCACTCTCACAAATTAATAAATCAAGCTGGGCATAATGATATATGGCTGTAATCCCAGCACTCTGGAAGACTGAGGCAGGAGGATCACAGGTTCAAGCCCAACCTGGACAACTAGGCAACCTGGCAAGATTCAACTCAGAAGGAACCTGTCAATTTTTTGTTTTGTTTTGTTAAAAAGGTTTAGATATATAGCTCAGCAAAACAGCCCTGAGTTCAATCTCAAGTAAAAAAGAAAAAAAAAAAATTGAACAGGTCAACCAGACAAAAATTTAACAGAGAAACATCAGAGTTAAAGTAGATTACAGATCAAGTGGGCTTAACAGACATCTACAGAATGTTCCACCCAAGAAAAGCAGAATACACATAGTTTTCAGAAGCTCATGGAACTTTCACAAAATAGGCCATATTTTAGGCCAGAGAGGAAGTTATTTTTATTAATTTTTTGGTATATTTTAGATATATGTAATGATAACATTCATCATAGGGAACTTGTGACTACAAGAAATTTCTTGACTTTCTATTTTACCCCAGTCCCCTCCCCTCCCTTCAACTCCTTTTCCCTTCCTAATTTGCAAAAGCTTTGATGCCATTTTTCCTTTCTATTCTATTTCCTTTCTCCTTTTCACTTCCTTCCTTTCCCCCTATGCTCTCCCTTGTTCCCTTCCCGTTTGTTATGCATAAAGATCACATTCACTGTAGGGAATTTGTACCTATATGATATACCTTAGTTACTCTTTTTGGGGGGCTGGGGATTTAGCTCAGTAGCACAGCACCTGCCTGGCAAGCACAAGGTTGTGAGTTCGATTCCCGGTACTGGGAAAAAAAAAAAATTACTCTTTTTTTCCCATTCCTTTCCCCTCTCTTCACTTTTCTTTCATTTCTTATTTACAAAGCTTTGCCTTCATTTTATCCTTTTTTTTCATTTTTTTCTTTTCCCTTCACCCCCCATTCCTCTTCCCCTTTGAACTTCCTATTTCACAAAATATATTATACATTTTGGTCCTTATTTACCCTTTTGATTTTGCACATCAGAGAAATAATATGATATTTACACATGTGTGTCCAATTTATTTCGCTTAAGAGTATGATCTCAAGGTGCATCCATTTACCTAGAAATATCTCCTTTATCCTTCTTTATGGCTGAGTAGAAGTACTACATTGAATTAAAAAACCACATCTTTATCTATTCATTTGTTGATGGGTATTTGGACTGTTCATAAGATTTAGCTGTTACAAAATGTGCTGCTATAAACATGGGTGTGAATATTTCACTATGGTGTGATCATTTTAATTCTTTCAGGCAGATACCAACAGAGAGAAGTGCTGGGTCAAATAGAACCTCTAGTTTCATTTTTTTGAGGAATCTCCACACTGATTTCCACAATAGTTACACCAGTCTACGCTCCCACCAACAGTGGAAAAGGCTTCCTTTTTCCCCACAGTCCCACCAGCATTATTCTTTCTGGAGTAAGACGAAATCTCAGCGTTGTTTTAACTTGCATCTCTTGAATGACCCGGGATGTTGAACTTTTTTTATATGTTTATTTGCCATTTCAGCATCCTGATCTGAGAAGTGTCTATTCATTTCATATGTCCATTTTGGGATTGGATCTTTCAAATTGGGCATCTCGATCTCAAAAATTGGGCATCTTAAATTAATAGACACTTTGTAGAAGTACAAACAGCAAATAAATACATGAAAAAATTCTCATCGCTGATCATTTGAGAGATGCAAATTATAACAACTCTGAGCTTCCATCTCAGTCCAGAATGAATGGC